GTGTGTGTGTGTGTGTGTGTGTGTGTGTGTGTGTGTGTGTCTGTCCATGGAATAGAGCTCTTTTTTCTCAAAGCTACTGGGCTTACACATGCATGTAATTGTAACCCACTCTCCTCATACCTCTGTTTAAAAATCTTCAGCAACTTTTGCTTAAAGTCTAAACTCCTTAACCTGACAGTTAAAGCCATGTACAACCTGGTGGAACACACTGCTAACTTTTTCAGTTTTATCTCACATTGTTTCTTTACACACACAGTGTTGCAGGCTAACTAGATTACTTCTGGTTCTTTGAATGTACTCTGAACTTTCCTGACTCCATGCTTTTGTCAATGCTGTTTCCCAGGCCTAGAATGTTCTTTCTCCCTCCCATTCTTTGCCTGTTGAATTCCTCCCCACCCCTACTTTGTTTCTCATTTTACGGGGATAGGCACTGGACCTGTGATTTCATCTGTACACAGAAAATCCAAATGAAGAAACCTGTACTGATGCAGCTTGGGCACCTTCTCAGCAAGTTGTATCATCTTTGAGAATTGCCTGGAGCAATGATAGTTAAATGACTTGACCAGAGTCAAACAGCTATCAGTATCAGCAATGAGACTTGAACACTAATCTTTTTCAACTGTTGCTGGCTTACCTTGGACATTTTCGCTGTGGCCTTCTCATCCTGAAAGATCTCTCCACTCCTGTAGCCTCCTTTTTTTCATTGGTGAGTTCCCACCAGCATCTCAGTTTTGAGGAAGGGTCCAGGTCAACCATCCTTCTTCATTCCTCTCCCAGCTCTGCTCTGTCATGGCCTCACCAATATCCCTGGCCCTTTTTTTTTTTATGTGTAGACTTTCCTCATCGGAATGTAAGTTCCTTGAGGGCTGGCACTTTCTTTGTCCTTGTATTGGTATTTCCAGAACTTCGCACATGTGTGGTGCATAGTAGGAACTTTATAAATGCTTGTTGACCGGACTTCCTGGCTTGAAAGTCATCTTTCCATCCATTATGTCACACTGACTGTCATTGCTGTAGGCAACATGTTTATTAAAAACATTTCAGCATTCTAGACATGCATAAATCCACATGCTTCCAGTACTGCGAAAAGAATGATTGCTGCACTGTCTCTTCACTTTGTTGACAATGATATTTCTGTTTTGTTTTGTTTTTTTTTGGCTAGGTGATGGGGGTAAGTGACTTGCCCAGGGTCACACAGCTAGTAAGGGTTATGTGTCTGAGGCTGAATTTGAACTCAAGTCCTCCTGACTTCAGGGCTGGTGCTCTATCCACTGCACCACCTTGCTGCCCTGATAGTTCTGTTTTTTAAAAAATTTATTGCTATATTTTGTTTTTATATTACCTTCACTGTCAAATTACCCTCCCTGTACCTAGTGAACCATACCTTATAAGAAAGAATAAAAAGAAAAAAAGGCAGTTAGGCAAAACCAAATAGTGTAGATATAAACTGTTTGACAAAAATATATAATAGCTAGTATTTATATAGCACCTATTATTGTTAAGTGCTTTATAAATATTTTCTCATTTGATCCTTACAACAATTTTGTGAGGTAAATACTATTATTATTTTCCCCAGTTTTACAGATGAGGAAACTGAGGAAGATAGAGGTTAAGTGACTTGCCCAAGATCATATAGCTAGTAAATGACTGAGGCTGGATTTGAACTCAGGTCTTCCAGACCCAAACCTTGTCTGCTAGTTGCCTATTTGAAATAGTCCAGATTCTCAGTTCCCACCTTTGAAGGGAGGTACATTTTCTTAACTATTCTCCCCAAGTTTGGCCATCATAATTACAGTGTTCATTCTTTTTTTTTTTTTTAAATTCCATTTATATTGCTGCAATTGTTCTGCAAAATTTTCCTGGGTCTGCTTACTTCAGTCTTCATTAGTTTATATACATCTTCTCACAGTTCTCTTAATTGTTAATATTCCTAAAATTCTACTGCATTGATATACATTTATATCCTTTCACTCCAGTGACATTGCCGTTTTCTGCTTATCCATTTCCTCTTGGTGTCATTTGCTGGATTATATTAATAGTCCCTGTTCTGCACCCTTACGGGAATGCAGACACAGATACCTTTGGCTTCTTTCTTGAAATGGAGGTTCTGGAAGGCAGTTGACAGCATATGACTAGCAAGAGAATAGAGCTGGATATTTAGATTACAAGGTTATTTGTGAAGAGATTATACTGCTAGAGCTGATGAGAAGTCCAAGAAAGCATGTATAGAGAAAAAGGAGAAAGGGTATGAGGAGAGAGCTCTGGGGAACAATTTTGCTAAGAGTTCACCAGGGTGGTCATGTCTTTGAACTCATCTTTGTAGGTTTCTAGGGAGAGGAAGAGGGAAGAGAAGAGCTCACTCTTAATCTTGAGAGTCAGGAGGCTTCATGTGGTTGGGTTGTTAGAATAGATATTTCTTAGCTTGGGGCATTTGTGACCCAATGGAATGATGTTGTTACTTATCTAGCAGCCCTTCAGAAGTACAATTGAAGAAAAAGGGAGTTGGTGGCACTGAGCCAGGGCTGAAGGTTGGTCATAGGGCAGAGTCAAGGGTGGAGGACAGTGTATAACTGCACCAGTCAACCATAGTGTCTGGACAAGACTAAAAAGAAAGGAAAGTGAGGCCAGAGCAGTCTCGATGGACTAAGAGAGCTGGGAGGCATGGAAAGCTTGAAAGTTGCTGTGAGGACACCGAGTAGGAGTGAAGTTGAGAGATGAAGGAAGACACCAGAAAGGGAAATTTCTGAATTAAAAATCAAGGAGGTGATGGTGAGGTCTAGGCTGGGGTATGACTGTCCTTGTGGCTGGATAAAATTGAGGCAAGCTGTTAAATAAAGGGTGATGAGGAGGTTGCTAAACTGGCATACCAAGCTTTTGGAGAGGACAAGATGTATGTGGGAGTATGGAAGCAGGACTGCAGTCCGGTGCTGAATTCCTCGAGAAAGGAGCAGAAGTGATTTGAAGGTCAGTGGCTGGCAGTGACAAGGACTTGGGCTGGGGGGTGTGGATGGATGGACCAAGTCCCAAAGGAGGAGAGCGTGCTGAATCAGACGATGTCCGAGGGGGGAGTCCCTAGCATTGGCAGTGGGGACCAGAGGGCATTGGGGTGTTGGAAAGGAGAGAGATGCCCTTCTGGGTAACTCCTGCGAAGAGCCGGGGGACACGGGGGTTCAGAGTCCCCACGATGCGCTCACGGAGTCCGAGCTAAACGCTAACCCACTTGCAGAAGCCCAGAGATAAGGAAACAAGCCTTCTGCAGGACCTCAGCCCCCGCTCCCCAGCCTGTGCAGCAGCTCGCTTCGGGTGCCTGGGGATGCGCGCGTGGGAGGCTTTTCAGGCAGCGCGCAGGGAGCCAGGAGCCCGGGCTCGGGTGGGTGAGGGTAGAGCAGCACGCTCCGGAAAGAGCGAGAGCGAGCGAGCCGAGCGGCGCGTGCGCGCGCCTCCAGAGCGGGCCGGGGAGGGGAGGCAGGCAGGGAGCGCGCACGCCGCCGCTCAGCGAGACCGGGACGCTCGCGCTCGCGCTCCGCTCTTCCCCCCTCCCTGCTGTCCCCCGCTCCCCCCCCCGCACCTCCTCCCTTCCTGCTCGCTCGGCCTCCCTCGCTCACTTCTCGCTCCCCCCTCCCCCGGGCGGCGGCGGAGTGAACGGGACGGGCCGGGCCGAGGGCAGTAGGGCGCCGCGCCGCGCGGCGGAGGAAGAAGAGTTGAGATCGCCGCTGCCTCGGTGAGTGAGGGAGCGGGCGCGCGGGCTGGGGCGGGGGCTGGGGCTGCGGCGGCCCCCCGGGGGCCGAGCCCGCCCGGGCAGGCGCGCGCCGGGGGGCCCCCACCGCTTCCTGGACGCCCCGCTGGCGGGCCCGGGGGCGGGGGCGGGCGCCCCGCGGCCCCCCGCTGTCCCGCCGCTTGGGGCTCTGCCCGGGAGACTGGAGAGGCGACTCTGCGATGGGGCAGGGGCGCGGGCGGATCGCTACCTGCCGGGGGACCCAGGTGTCTGGGTGCCCGTCCTCCCCCGAAAAGTAGCTGATGGAGAAAGCAGGAAAGCGCCCCCCGCCGCCCCTGGTCCGACACCTCTCCCTTCCCCAGGCGGTCCCCCGTTCTCCTGATCCCCGACTTCAAAGTTTGGGGCACCGGGCGAGCACTTTGCTCCGGCGGCCACCGGTGCCGGGAGGGGGTCTGCCTCCATTCATTGGGGGTCCCGTACTCGTTACTGGGACTCGGGTCCGTTCCCTAGGTGTTCGTGTAATTTGGACAGCATTGCTTTATGAATCCCTTCCCCTTCCCCTTCCCCCCATCCCCTTTCTTCTTAGGTTTCTCAGATTGGGGTGGGGAAAAAAAAAGTAGTTCTTAAGACAAGAATCTTAATTTACACCACTTGCAGAACTGATGAGGAGTGATGGAAAATGCTTAGTGCCATGCAGAACTTGTAAGGAGAACTTAAGCTTGCCTTGACAGCCTCTGGCTTTTTGGAAGCTTATCTCAAGGCCTACAAAAATCCCTCTAGTTTAGGGATTTTTAATCAAGTTAAGACCTACTTGCAGGGTATTTGGGTGGTGACAGGTTATTTCGTGTCATACTTCGGAAAACAGCTTTGAAAACTTCTGAACTTTGAAGTATCAAAATTTGGCTTCCATCATCCGGTATTGGCATGAAGCTTGCTTGAAGTCAAATTGAAAATGGATTTTGCTTCTGGAAAATATTAGAACCAAAATTGCTCGCCCCTGGAATATTGGCTTATGTATGACTCAGTATTTCAACGAAGTTAACGTATGAAACTGACAGTGAGATGGCAAAGAGCAAAGTCTGAAGTTGAATTTAATGCTATAATGGATCATTGGCATCATCAGATTATATTAAGCATCTACCTGCCAGTGGTCTTGTTCAGGGCTTTTGCAAGTAAGGCTGCCCTCTGTACTAATGAAGTGTAATACTGTGCTGTTACATGACATATTATTAATAATCAAAGAATAATTAGGTAGAATCAGGTACTTTGAATGTGAAAATGTACAGCAAACCCACATTCATGGTACAATGTTTTAAACAAGGTGTAGAGGAATTTAGATTTGTGCATTGTCTCTTCTATTAGATTGTGAGCTCCTTGAGGTCAGGGATTGTCATTTGCCTTTCTTAGTATACTCACTGATTAAGCACAGTGCCTGGCACATAGCAGATGCTTAATAAATACTTATCGACTGACATTCATGCTATTTAGTTGTGGCAGAATATGAGATCTTGAAACCTGGAATGGAAAGAACTAGATGTCCAATGCACATCTTAATCTCATCAGGTCCAAAATAGAACTCATTTCGCCCCCAACCCCCCCCCCCTTCCCCTTCCCTGTTAATGTAGAGGGCAACACCATCTTCCCAGCCCTTTGGGCTCATCACCTAGGAGTCATCCTTGACTCCTCACTATGGCTCACACTCCCCACCCCCATCCCCCATATCCAAGCTGTTGCCAAGGCTTGTTGATTTCACCTTTGCAAAATCTCTCATATATGCCCTCCTTTTCCTCTGACGCTACCACCACTCTAGTGCAAGTCCTTGATTACTGCCCTACCCTGCTGGTGGGTCTGCCTGCCTCAAGTCTCTCCCAGGTTCAGTCTGTTCTCTGTATTCTCTGTTATTCAAAACCCTTTATAACCTACCTCCTTCCTACCCTTGCAGTCTTCTTGTACCCTTTGATCATGACTCTGGCCTCCTGGCGGTTCCACCAACAAGACGCTCCTTCTCTCCACTCCAGGAATTTTCTCTGTCTGTCCCCATACTTAGGATGCTCTTCCTCTTCAATCCCACCTACTGATTTCTCTGGCTTCCTTTAAGTCCCAACTAAAATCCCACTTTCTATGGGAAGCTTTCCCTGACCCCTCTTAATTTCAGTGCTTTCCCTCTTTTCTTTATTTCCTATTTGTCTTGTATATAGCTTGCTTTGTATATCTTCATTTACATGTTGGCTCCCTCATTAGACTGAAAACTTCTTGAGGGCAGGGACTGTCTTTTGCCTCTTTTTTTATTCCCAGTGCTTAGCACCTTACCTAGCACATAGTAGGTGCTTAATAAAAGTTTATTGAATTGAATTGAGAGAATGTATTAACTCAGGGGTGACCAGTAGGTTTTGGAGTGTGTGAACAGGAGTACACTGGGACTTGTTTAAGAACTTTGAATATTATGGATTACTTCTATTAGTAAGCTGTTATATATTACATATTGGTCCCATTGATACATTACTAACAATCCAGTCTCTATTGACCTCTTCAGTAGTTATATAGCAAATTTTGAGCCTTAATTTCAGAGTTTCTTTTTATTAGGCCATCTTTGGGAGTCAGGGAACTTCTTCATGTTAAGTCAACTGAAAAAGTCAGCTTAGAATATAATTCAATTGAATTTTGAAATGGGTGGCTTTTAAGAACCCCAGTTGAAAAAAATCTCATCAATTGCCTTAGCCAAAGTAGGAAATACTCACATTACCTAATTACTTTATATTCAAGCAACTCCTAGAGCTATTGTACGATGTCTGAAACCAAAGACAAAATTAGAAGGCAGAAAGATTTTTTTTCCTCTTGGAATATTAAGAGAGCTAAATTCCGATACAAGTAGTTAAAATATTACTCATTTTAGGTGTTTGAGATTAAAGCCTTGAGGCTTTAATATGCAGAGACCATTCAGTAGTAATTTAGTTCCATTATTTTGAGAATATAAACCTGGAGAGTACCATCTGTTTGCTGCTTTGGTGGCTGTCCTCCTGAAGTTGTCCCAGTTCAGGGTTACTCTGTTTAAGACTTGTGTCAGTGATTGTAGGGACATGGAAGCAGAGAGAATATAGCCTGTGAGATTCAGGAGATTGTTTACTTATTTTGCACAAGTTGCCATGTGCTCCTTATAGTACAACTTTTACATTATGTACGGGTTGGCCATGGCCTCAGGGTCTGAGTGGCCGCTTAAAACTATTTCATCTGCTGGCACCTCAAGGGCAGCCCAGGGATTTCTTTTGGAAATGTAGTCTATTTGCCACAAAACACAGTGGAATTTGAAAATATATGGGCTCATTTTGAGTTGTGATGAAAAGACTCAGTTTTGGAGGGATTTTTAAATTTTGGAAATGATGGAAAAATGCTATTTTCTTTGACTTAAACTATTGCTTCATGGGTTTGCATAAGGCAGCATTAATGGAAGAAATGGAATTTGTTTACTGTGATGACAGTATTTGAAATTGACTTGAACTTCTTGACTGCCAATGGATACAAAAAAAGGGCACTTCAGAATGAAGGAGAATCGACATTTGTTTATACAGTTCATTACCCCCCATGTTACCCTCGTGGATGTGGTATTGCTCATTTATTTAAGCAAGTTGAATAATAATTGAGTAAATATTTTTTAGGTGTCTACTGTGTGCAAGCCTCTGTGTTCAAGATGTTTCAGAGATGAAAAAAAAAACCAACTTTAACAGTTTACAGCCAAATGTAGTGAGGAAGAGGCATGTACACAAAATAACTATTACACATAGATATAATTAAATGCATAGGAAAAGAGATAGTAAAGAGTATGATAGATTAAAGTATCACTTTTAGTTGGTGGAATCAGGGAAGGGGGAAGGGAACAAGCAGTTATTAAGTGTCTACTATGTGCCTGGCACTGTGCATAAAGACTGGTATCTGAACTGGGCCTTTCTCAAAGAAGAGATTTTGGCAAGCAGAGATTTAGATTAGAGACTGTCCATTCAGGGTGTATATCATAAGTAAATTAAGGTAAGAGAGAGTAAGATGGAAATAGGTTGTAGCTCAGTTTGTAACACAGAATTCACTAAAGGAAGTAAGCAATGTGGAATGCTGGGTGGAGCTAGATTGTGGAGGGTCTTGAATGTCAGGGTCATAGGTCTAGCCAAAGCTAGCAGGGATCTTAGAGGTCATCTAGATAGTAGGTGTCAAACACGTGGCCTACCATACTCCCAACACTCCAGAGTACAGAGGGACCAGGTTAAAATGTAATTGGGAAATATTTAACAAAATAAATAAAAACATGATAAAACATAGATAATATTACATTTAAAAACTAAGTCAATATGCAACTTACAGGGATCCTTATGTAGTGGCGGATCCTTATCTGGCTGAATTTGATACTGCTGATCTAGGCCAACCCTCTCATTTTACAAATGAGGAAACTGAGGCCTGTAGAGGTAAAGTAGCCAGGACAGATGCATAATGTGATTAGATTTGAGGATTAAAAAGATTTTTTTCTTTTTGGCTGCAGTGTTAAGGATGGATTGGAGAGAGGGACAGGCTGGCATCAGGGAGAACAATTAGATGGCTATTATAATTGTCCAGATAATAATGGAAGTGGAAATCAAGGGAAGACTGTGTTATGCTATAGAGAATCCATAGGATTAGGCATTTGATGGGATGCTGGAGGTGAGAAGAGGGTCGAATATGACTCTAAAGTTTTGAAGAATGATGCTGCCCTCTTTAGAAATAGAGAATTTAAGATCAAAGGAAGGATTTGAATTCTTTCTCTATAGACTCTTTATGTAATTTGGGGGCAATTTTTGGTGTAAATATTTGGGACTTTCCCAGGATATTCTTACTTTCTGCTTTTTAATCAGTTACATTTAATATAATTTTACATTTCACCTCATTTTAAAATCTTTTTTTAAAATAAAATTTTATTGATATAAATTTTAATCACTTAAGTTGTCCCTTCATCTCTTTATTAAAGATGCATATTCCCTTTATCTTTT